GAAAGAAAGAAAGAAAGAAAGAAAGAAAGAAAGAAAGAAAGAAAGAAAGAAAGAAAGAAATCCGCACAATATCTCTGGGAAACGAAGCTTCTTAGCTTTGAATTTTAACTTTAGTGTTAAAATTGTATTTTCCAAAAGGATTTCTATGTCCTGAAACAGTTTGTTTGTTTGCTTGTTTTTCATTGAGATAGAATCTTAGTACTGCCTGTTTGTTTACTCAACTGTCTTCCAAAAAGCGTATTGGCATTCAATAGCTAATCAATTGCTTTTTCTCTGTTTTTTGAAAATTAGAGTTCTCTCATTCCACAGTGCCTGAAGATTATATTTGAAAATAATACAATTTCAATTACAAGATTATGGCTTCACTGTTTGACCATTTTCCCCAATCCAATACTAAATATCCATTGGCTATTTTGGCTGGTGCTTGGTTATGGGAAAGAAGAGACATCTAGTCAGTCTTAGGAAGGATGATATATAATGGAAATCCAAAACTTCCAAAAGAAACTTCTTTTCAGAAAAAAAAATTATTAATCAATATTAATAGCTTTTCAATAAGGTATCAAGGTATCAATTCTTTAGAATTCTTAATAGGTTCAACAACATTGCCCATAGGAATGAATGTTGTTCATGGTTTCCACATTAGTGTCAAAGCCTTGAATAGCAACAATGCAGCATAATTTACCTCACCTGGCTTCCCATCCCTTCTTTGTTTTTAAGTTTTCTGCAGAGGAAGGATTTATAAAGCAATATGGCATTAGTAAAAAAAAAAATTAATATTAGAGAAAGCACATTCTACAAAGTACTTTCAAAATGCTTATTTTATTTCAACTTCACAAGAATTTCATGTATGCATTTTCTCTATCTTACACTTGAGGAAACCAAGACCCAAAGAGATTAATGGCTTTTTTTTAAATTTTTTTTACAGTTATTTATTTTTGAGAAACAGAGTGAGACCAAGTGTGAGCGGGGGAGGGGCAGAGAGAGAAAGGGACACAGAATCTGAAGCAGGCTCCAGGCTCTGAGCAAGTGGTCAGCACAGAGCCTGATGCGGGGCTCGAACCCACGAACTGTGAGATCATGACCTGAGCCGAAGTCACACGCTCAACTGACTGAACCACCCAGGTGCCCCACCTTTTTTGACTCCAAAGACTTGTTCTGTCCTCTACTTGCTATTTGAAATGTGGTCCGTGCCCAGCAGTATCAGCATCACCTGGGAGTTCGTGAGAAATGCAGAATTTTTTAAAGTGTATTTATTTATTTTGAGAAAGAGCATCAGCGGGGGTATGGCAGAGAGAGAAGAAGAGAGAGAATCCCAAGCAGGCTCTTCACTGTCAGTGCACAGCCCAACACAGGGCTACATCTAAAACACTGTGAGATAGGGGCGCTTGGGTGGCGCAGTCGGTTAAGCGTCCGACTTCAGCCAGGTCACGATCTCACGGTCCGTGAGTTCGAGCCCCGCGTCGGGCTCTGGGCTGATGGCTCAGAGCCTGGAGCCTGTTTCCGATTCTGTGTCTCCCTCTCTCTCTGCCCCTCCCCCGTTCATGCTCTGTCTCTCTCTGTCCCAAAAATAAATAAACGTTGAAAAAAAAAATTTAAAAAACTGTGAGATGAGCTAATGACCTGAGCTATAATCAAGAGTCAGACTCTTAGCTGACTGAGCCACCCAGGTACCCCAGAGAAATGCACAATTTTAAGTTCCTCTCCAGGTCAACTGAATCAGAATCTGTGTTTTTAAGAAGATCCCTGGGTGATTTATGCACATTAAAGTCCAAGAATTACTCCTTTACCGTGTTGGAAAATATTTTCTTGTCAGCTCAAAGTTAATGTGACACAGGGACTGATGATGTAGCCACTCTTAAGTTTTGGTTCAAATTAATATCTCCTAATATCATCTTTGCAGAGGTTCATGAACCAAAAGTCCCAGAAATTAAAAGTTCAGTGATAATAGGATATATGCTATTTCCCTGTCATTTTCTTGAAGAGATCTTGGATTTTATTCTGTAACATTCCATTCCAAAGACATTAAGTGAAACAATAAAAACAAAAAAAGACATATTAGCCAAACAGGAGAAGAGATATACACTTGATGATCAGACCAAATTAAATATTATTCATTGTATAGCTAGTCCACGCCCTACATGCCTCAATAATCTCAGCTTCCTTTGTCTTCCACTACTTCCCATGCCCCTGCATCATTTGCTGAAGCATCTCGATGGGGAACAGAGCTCTGCTGATCTCTGATGCTAGGGGCAACTTGTCTTCCAAAATATCTGAACAGATTCCTCCCAACTTATCTACATTAGGGTAACAAATTCTGTCCATAAAATGTATTTTGGGGGTTGTCACTGGGTAGTCTTCAGTAAGAAATAGTTCAAGTATAGAAGTTCCCCACTCAGAGGAAGAATTCCAAAGGAAACCACCCATGATCACGTGAAAATCATGTATGTTCCGATCCACATCTGCCTTGATGCCAGACCCTTGATGATTCTCACTCATTCCTGGATCATTCTTCAGGGAATTGTGGTATTGTTCAAGGGTTATGTGAAGGGGTTCAGAATGTCACCCTAAAATATGCTACACTGGCATATTGATTATTTTGAATAAAGATACTTAAGAAACAGCCAGTGCAAGAAGGACATTCTGACTTTCCTCTGTCCCCCTGAAAGCAGGAAATAAATCTCCCATGTGAAAGTTACTCTCCTTGTACCAGGAGGATAGAAGACATCTTTATCACCAAAGATAGGGAATCTAGGACCAAGAAGTCTGTATACATAAGCCTAGTTAATTTTTTACCATTTGCTACCCCAAGCGTAAACCCCTCTGCCTTGCCAATCCTACACAAACATTGTTTGTCTAAATGATATAAAAGCTGCCCACTCTGGTCACTTCTTTGTGTCCTATATCTTTGAGGGGCTCCTCAAAGATATTCATACATACATACATAATTAAATTTGTTTTTCTCCCGTTAATCTTTCCTGTTATACAGGGTGTCTCAGCCAAGAACACAAAAAGGTAAATGAAAATTAATTTTTCCTCCTCTTCAGATGTTAGTTCTCCTCATCTTTTCAGTTTAAAACTTTTCAAACCTATGGAAAAGTAGCAACAATTGAAAATATAACTCATATACTTTTCACATGGATTTCCCCAATTATTAATATTTTGACTCATTTGCTTTCTCTCCATCTCTTGTAACTCTCTCTCTCTCTATTTCACTCTCTCTCATCAAGTAAAATACATTAAAACACATTCCTTGGAAAAATCAAATTGTTTCCTTTAATAAAATCACCTTTCTGTGAATATACTATGCTAATCTCCCACTTTCAGGTCTAAATTTGTTCTCTGCATTAAATGGAGCCAAGTGACCACCGTTACTTAGACACTGCGGGGGAAGAGCTATGGACTGTACACGCCACATTGTCCCTCTCCTCCTCCTCTCTTCTAGCTTTTCTATGGCATTGCTTTGATGGTCACAGCAGCATTCAGCAGGAGCAGGGTCCTTGAACAAGGCAAAGCAACCTAGCAAAGGCTATTTGCTCGTAATTCAAACTTCTGTATATCTTCGAGGGTAGCAAGTCTTTATTCTCTGAGAACAGATCACGCAATTTTTGAAAACAACCAAAAATTACTCAGACCCCAAATGGGTATCTAAATCATGGGCATCTCTAAAGTAACGGCACGTACCAAGTCAACTACATTTAAATAAGTATAGCTTCCCAAGGTGACTCCTCTGAAGAGAACCACCTGTATCTTGGTATCTACATGCTAGTATGTTTGTTTAAAAATAACTGGCACTGAGCGCTACTATATGCTTCCGATGGAACAGAACATTGGATAAATTAAAAACCTGTCTAGAAAGCAATTTGTCAACATGTACCATGAGCTCTAAAGATATTTATAACCTTTGTCCCAATAATTCCACTTTTAGGAAACTATACTGAAGGAATAATAAAATGCATGTTTAAAGAGAAATTTTTTTTTTAAAAAGATAAAAATTTAAAGGGATTCATCACAGGGCTATTTTAAGTAGAAAAATAAAATGAAGTCAATGAAAAATTTCCAATATAGGTAATAGACTAAGTGATTTATGATGGTCTAGCCAATGCCTAGCCTAATAACATAAAAATTTTATAATGTTAAAAGAAAAAAGTAAGATATAAAACTATATACAGCATAATTATAACTAGGTTATAAGATATATGCATATAAAAGACTGGAAGGAAATACAATAAGATATTAA